ATCACAGGTGATGTTGTGCACCAGCTGCTGTCGTCTCGGCTGACACACTGTCAGAGCGCAGAAACACACAGCCTCTAATGAACCTCAGGCCTACCTGGTTAAAATACACCTCATACGGCTCGGTTTCAACGCCACACAATGCTGTTCTCAACAAACTCAAAGCAGAGAGGCTAACTCAACACTGATGAATTTACAGAAAAAATGGGATTACTAGGATTACTGTACTTACAAAAGAATTGTATTTAAAAGAGAACAAGTTCTAGATAACTTTAAATTGCTTTTTGAGGTTAAAGAACAATTTCTTTCAAAGTAGGGCTGGGCGATAAAAAGATAAGGATAATTATCACAATATAAATCACGATATAAAAAGTTTGACTAATGTTCCATATAGTGTTTATAGAATAATTGCAGGCTTCAAACATATGGCGACAAAGAGGCAAAACTTACAGACTGCAGCTTTAAACAATTGTAAAATATTAAATATGATATTATAAAACACCATTTCTGAACAAACGGGTTACAATCACATTCTGAATATGGGGAGTTTTTGAAGCTATAGTAAAGAAGCTGGGGTAGAAATTCTGTTAATCTCCTCAGAAATAACAAAATAGATCCATGTTCTTAAAATCCCCACAAACGTTTGACTTAAATCGACCAGAAATGACTCACCCTGAGAGTCTGAGAGAATAGCACATTACAGCATCTTAAAAACTTTCACACGGACCAAACCAAATCTTCAAGGCATATAGCAATGCATGCAAAGCAAGTGATTTCAAGCGATCCCAATGTCAATGTAGAAGATTACATACATTTTCTAAACATAGAGTTGCACTCACTCTGGCTGTTAAGACAATGTTTTGACACTCTTCCTAATGAAAGCGGTTATGTTTTGGAATTTCAAAGAGGATTTCTCCTTTTCCTCTGGCAAGCCCAAATTCTGAAACTCCCTTGCTCTTTCTGATCATGGGCCCCCAACACACCGTCAGATCAGCCGGGAAATTGCAGCAATTCACCCGGAATGAAAACACGATCAAAAGGAAAATGGGCTCAGAAGAAGACCTCGAGCACATATAGTCAAACTCACTCAAGTCTCATCACAAAGCAAAAATAAGCGTGATGAAAAGCTATTGTGACACATCTGAAATGATGACATCATGCTAGGTCGTGACTTGTGGAAAGAAAATTCGTATAACACAACCAAGTTTTCCTTTTTACTCAAAACAGCATATTTTGATTCAAATCCAGCATTCTTGAATTCACAATCCAAGTTTCCAATTCGCTCAAGCACCCCCACAGAGGTGTAAAACCCTTTGCAGGATGGGGGAAGCTAATTATCTCTTCCGGCAACTGGCTTTGTTCCCGCAAGCAGTCTCTCCTAAATCTACAACATGGGCGATAGAAACACTAATAAAGGAAAATATGTTTTATAATTAATAACTGAGGAATAATTGGCACCGTTATGAATTTTGAGGCCAGGCAGTGAAGCATGATGACTTCTGATTACCCTAGACATCGTATATCACATTTCCTCAGCACTCTACTAATAAACTGATTAAGTTTAGTTGGCCCAGCTGTCTCTGATAGCCCATAAACACGCAGCACAATCACAGGGAGATTATTTACTACCAGCCCAGCAGAAATACCTCGTTCCTAAGAGAGGACATTACAGACGCCTGCTGCAGAGTAACAAAGATGCGCCGAGATTAACAATCATAAAATAATAATAAGAAATGCCACAAAGTCTCTCATTATGCTCGGCTTGCAGATTCTGCTAATGGCTCCGTGAGGGATACTTAAGACACTGCTGTAAACAGCAGAGCATGCAGGCTTTTTAAGGGGGGTACTCGTGTGGAAGAGACCACGGTAACTAATCACACATCCATGAAAACATCATGTCTGGACCAAGCACACTTCAGCTGACGTGCATTGGTGTTAGTGCAAACCAGTGGCAGAAAATAACATATTCCACTGAGAGGCCATTTTTGTCCCCTGGACTTCATTTTCAGTTGCATTGTCCAATGATATCATTTTCTGTGCCATATTTTAATGTCAACTTCGGGGTGATCAATTTATTGCCGTCAATTATATATCTGGGGAAAAAAAATCTAGTTTTATGCAATAATAATTAAAGCTAGGCCTAAGATTGAATATTAAGATATTTCTGGGCCCGTATTCACAAAACATCTAAAGGCTAAAAGTAGCTCATACATTTACATTTAGTCATTTATTCATTTCAGCTCATAACTTGCCGATTTAGGAGAAAAGCTTTAAAATAATGGCCGTATCAGTCCTAAATTTAGGACTCCTACATTTTTGCTCTAAGAGTATTTCATAAAGCATTTTAGCACTAAAACTCCTAAATCTGAGAAACGTTAGGAGTAGTGAAGAGGACTCAAAAATCACTAGCCACAAACTATCATAAAATGACTGCTGTCAGCAATCTGCCACTGAACATAAACATTTTAGAAACATTTGATGATAATGATCTTTTAAAAAGGTATCGCCTTTGGTTTTGGAGGTTATCCCTACTCCAAAATTTCCTTTGATTATATCCTTGCTTTCATTAACCAGTTGGGCAAGAAGTAACAGCTCTTCTTGCGTCCAGTTTGGTTTTCTTTTACGTTTGAATGTTATGATTATTCCACTCTGTTAATTAAAAGGCTGTCTATATACATATTCGCTAATTGTTTACAAGAAGCATACATGTAAGAGGCTGACAATTAGCTGAACATATACTTGTTTAATTAGTGACTCTTAGCTTGCATTTTTAAATATTTATTTGAATATGGCAATTAACATTTTTATTTTTAAACCTTTATTTGAATATGGCAACATAAAATCATGCTCTACAATATTTCTATGTATACATAGTATTGTTGTTGCCGCCGCCATGTCGTGAAGGCGCTGTGTGCTTTGTTGTGAAAGCGAAACTACTTTGTTTGGTTTTCCAAAAGAGGACGATATCCGCTTCGTCATGCCTGGAGCTGATCTTTGCTGGTCGCTGAGGGAATACATCAACTTCGTGCTGTGGATCGCCGGATCGGCTTTCACCGTGGACGAAGCAGAGTCCAGTCCGGGTTCGTCGCATGTGGTTGCCGCTCCTTCGTCGAATCCGCCGGCCGCGCCGTTCTCAACCCCGCCGCCTCTGCTCACTCTAGCCCAGCCTCAGCTCACGCTAAGCCGCGGCTTCCGCTCACGCTAGGCCACCGTGTGTTTCGTTGTGAAAGCAAAACTACTTTGTTTGGTCTTCCAAGAGAGGACACAACTAGAAATCAGTGGTTAAGTTGTATTTACAACACTGTTCCAGAACAGTTTAACCCAAATATTCAGATGTGTGCAGCACATTTTATGGAGGACTGTTTCCTGATCCTGGAAGAGTAGACTACAATGCCGGCTGTTCTGACTCACAGACTGTAAGTATGTTTTCATATTTAAAGGATTTGCCACTGATGATTCAAACGCGAGTTTTGGGCAGTGTAGAGTAGTACTTGTTTTTCATTTCTCCGGTCACAAATGCAGACATGGTTTTATGTTTATGCGGCGCAATGCAACGCAACGCGTAAAAAGACTTTTATTATGTCCCCACTGGATGCAACAAATTCCTCGTTTGTAATAGGTTTTAATGTTTTTGTCTCGTCGCTCCGGCTGGGCAGGGCATCAATAGGATGGTGAGGGGCGTAACGTTTCGGTCACACGCTTGAGGGATTCGGCCAATAACAACGCACTGGATAGCTGGCCAATCACAGCACACCTCGCTTTTCAGACCGATGAGCTTTGTAAAAATCGATGCGTTTCAGAAAGGCGGCGCATAGAGGAGAAACAATAATGTACAGTATGTGGAAAATAATGCGTTTTTTTTTTACTTTAAACCGCATAAACACATTTCATTACACCAAATACACAAAATAATGTTCTTTTTAGCAACATCATATGACCCCTTTAAGACTTCTCTATATTCCTTAGTAAAAGTTTTACTAAAGTTTCTTAGTAAAAGAATTGAGAAAACTCTTAGCTAAAAACTTTTACTGCTATTTAGGAGAACTCTTAGTAGTAGTATAAAATGTTTTGTGAATACAGGCTCTGTTTGCTGTGTGAGATATTGAAATGAGCCGCGCTGTGAAACAGCCAATCAGAGCAGAGCTCAACATTATTATTCATTACCCTTCCTAATAAGGTAATAACAGACCAGGGACAAATCCTAGGTTTGTAAATGGACATGTAAAACTGTTTCTGGAGAATTTTTGCCCTTACCTAAGCCACATACCTTCTATGTAGATATCAGATAACAATTTAAAATATTGTATCAATGCATTCTATGGCACCTTTAAAACAGTCTCGATAATGATCAAGACAAGATCTTTACATCTCCAGAGTGAGGAAAAGGGCTAAAAAAAATCACCTTGGACCCCTCACACCCAGCCCACTCTCTCTTCGAACTGTTGCCTTGTGGTCGGAGCTACAGAGCACTGACCACCAGAACAGCCAGGCACAAGAACAGTTTTTTCCCACAAGCTATATTTAGTCTGAACAATTAATCTTTCATAATTATACATTGTCCATCACAACTAACATAGTATATTTATATTAAACTGCACACATAACATATCTGCACACTAATAAACATATCTGTACATTTATCTAAACAATTAAATTTTTTCCTATACTTCTTTTTCTGTATATAGTACATTATTCAATTTTTCTTTTTTTTTTTATTATATTAGTGTTATATTACATCCCTACTGTGTTATTCCTATGTATGTCTGCATTATGTTTGTACTTTCTTCTGCACTGGAAGCTCCTGTCGTCAAGTCAAATTCCTTGTGTGTGTAAACATACTTGTTAATAAAGCTCTTATGATTCTGATTCTGATTCTGATAATTAATGCCACGTTACAATCTCTCCAATCACCAAAATCAACGGAACAATCACGCAGAATACACGGACTATGATAAACAAATATATATGAATGGAGGGCCCCATTCCATCTCACATCTACTCACCTATGCGTAAATGAACTCCATCCTCCACTTCTTCATTATGGCCAATCATTTGTATGTCTTTATTTTTGGCAGAATTTCTCTTCACCTGTTGCCTTGACTTAAACACATGAAGGCGTGATGGCACACTGAGGTCATACTAAAACATCACCTGTGGCTGTGATGATCGGTTATATATGCAGAACGAGAAAAATTTCATTCACCTCCCTTGTGCCTTTTAAAGAGCCCAAATTTACCAAAATCCGTCAATCAGATCGAAAGATTTCATAGAGCTGTAACACATGAAACCAGACAGGTGTACTGCGGCACTACAAAGAAAAACAGCTCTGTGCCTCATGTTGCTTTTTCATTCATAATGTCACAAAACATGCATAGATCTTGAAAACCCGCACGTCATTATATTAAGAAAATTCTCCCGATTAAATGAGCCCAAACTCATTGTAATTAGTTAATTGGATCTAAATATATTACTTATGATGTTATCGCACACATGAAACCATTAAATTGAGAAAAACATAGGTTACATTTTCATTCATAACTTCATGAAACATGCATAGATCATGGAAAATTGCACGTCGTTATTTTCAGAAAATTCTCTCGATTAAAATAAGCCCAATCATACCAAAATCTGTTTAGATCTAAAGATATTCGTCATCGAATTATAACACATAAAACTCTAAATGTGCACATGTTGCAATATTCTCATGTTTTTTTACGCTTATCATTTCATGAAACATGCTCCGATCGTGGAAAATGTCATAGCCTATCATTATTTACAGCAGATTCTCACGATTGAAATGAGTCCAAAATCAAAACAATCCATTGTGTCTTTCGTGTGTAAATAATACCTAATCCCATGAATTGAATAAAATCAGTTGGAGAGCTCTATTGAACACTTGGCAAGCAGAATGTAAAACCTATAATGTTTCTGTCTATTTTTATCTTTTATATAAATTGTTTTTTAAATAATTGCGTATCATTTTAAAGCTTAGAAATTCAGCTTTTGAATGCATCCAACCATTTTGATCAACTCCTAACCAGTGCTGCCTAGTTCCTCTAAACCGGAGTGTACCGCCGGCGGGCGCCCCCTAGCGAAGAAAAAAAATAATAAGCATATTTTTCAAAATATATGCCTTAATCAACACAAAATAGGTGTCATTTGAAAGCTTGGAGTCTGACCTTTACAATGCATGTGGCTTTGATTAACACCTAAGTAGTGCTGAGTTATTTGCGGATAAATAGAAAAAAATTTAAATTTTTTCATAATTTATGAAAAATGTTTTTGTGCCATGTACGCTAATATGTCAGAAACATCATACAGCTCAGATAGTCATGTGTCATATGTCATTTGAAAGGTCTCATCGAGTAGAATAAATCAAGTATTATTTTGGGGGGATTTGACTAAACTTGAGTGAGGCATTACTTCAAATTCAAAACAACAATTTCAAAACTGTAAAGGGCTAAGAGAAGGGCTACCTTGATTCCAAATGCTGTAACTTTTGATTACTTCATGATATCACCACCAAATTTAATTCACATACAGCACACATGTTGGGGAACATCACCAAAAAATGTCCTTCTACCTTATTTCTTTCATGAGATATTGAACGTCAAATAAGAATGATATGAAAAATGTCCCTTGACCACACTAATTTTTCTTACATTTTATAACCTATTTCTCAGCATGAGAATATGCAAATGCAAAGATTGTTTTCCCCATAAAAATATAGAAAAAATTATATCAGACGATACCTACCTTTTGACTCTCTTTGCTATAGTTTTGGAGTTATGAGTCATTATTTTTGTGTATGGCACTCAGAAAACAACAGTTTTTAAAATTCCTTCAGGGAGTCAAGAGCAAAACAAAATGGCCTGTTTTGTTACAAAATATCGTAACTTTTGGATACTTTATGCTTTCAAACAGATACAGCTAACATGCTGGGCAACATCATCAAAAAAGTATTGTCCTCCTAACTTATTTCTGTCCTGAGATACTGAATGTCAAATAAGACTTTCTCTTGAGCACTCACATTTTTCTTACATTTTTATCAGCTATTTCTCAGCAGGAGAATGTCCAAATGAAATTTAAAATTTGTTTTCTATCAAACGATACCAACCTTTTGACTACAGTCTTCGAGTTATGAGTCATTATTTTTGTGTATGTCACTCAGAAAAAACATCAGCTTCAGTGAGGCAAAAATGCCCTCAGGGCTTAAAGGGTTAATTGTGTATTTAACGATTTATTTATATATTTCAAAATGTATTTAATGATTTAATTTTGAGTAATTTAGCCCTCCATAGTTCTGAACTTTATATTCATCCCAAAATCCTGAAAATCCTCACATTTAAAATATTAAGCAGCACAACTTTTATAATAATAAGAAATGCCTTTTTAGCAGCAAATCAGCAGAATGATTTTTGAAGGATCATGTGACACTGAAGCAGCGTAATGGCTGCTGAAAGTTCAGTTTTGCCAGCACAATAATAAATTACATTTTAAAATATATAAAAATAGAAAACATTACATTGCTTCAATGTGCTTTAAATTGTAATAATATTTCAAATCACTACTGTTTCTATTGTATTTTTGACTAAATAAATACCACCTTGCTGACCCCAAAATGTTTGAACAGTAGAGTGTTTGTAGTGAAAGTCATAATGACATGATTTTAATTGTCAAAGTCATTAACTGGGTGGCCAGCAAAGCAACCGCCTTTGGTTTTCGGACACAGTCCATGTGTGGTTCCAAATGTCGCTCTGTTCAGTCTTGCTTCATCCACAATCAAATCTGTTTTAATTAGGTGTTTCTTCCAGTTTGTCACTATGTCTATTTCTAGAGATCTTAAAGTGTATGTGATGGCAAGAGAGAGACTCAGATATCAAAGCAGGCACTTTCAGCATAGCCACAGGTGATAATGAATGTCTTAACGAATTAGCAGAGCTGTTTTCACTGTTCTTCTGCCTCTCTTCTCCCAGCCCCCATCACACAAACCCCTCCTGATAACCACATACCTGTGCCAACTTAGCCTGTCAGCCTGTGAATTTCAGATAATTGATGTCCATTTTATGACACCATTCAATAATGTTGATGTAATAGTCTTAGCGAGCCTATCTTCACGTCTATCCTGTGACCTTCCAGCTCAGATTGCTCACACACCATTGGCTCGGCTCTCTTTCACCTAAAGGCCTGTTAAGATTAAGTGGTTCTGCTTCTCTGCTGGATGATTTCTAAAACATTAAGATAGATGGAGGTTGAGAATGGAGTTGGGCTGTTTATCAAAGCATGACTTACCTGGCCAGAGTCAGGGATCTGTACTAAAAAACACTGAAGACATCATGCCATATGCCACCAGAGCTACAGTATCGCAGCAAGGCTTTTTTCATCTATTATGAGCTGATTTATTGTCGAATATTATGCTAAAGAGCCTTTGAGCTATTCTGCTATTCATCAGAGAAGCATCACATGCTTTTCGCCTCGTTCACCTATTTTACCCTCTTTAATAAGTGTGTAGAGCATTTTTTTGTCCTTGGTAGAAGATTTATCAGTTTACTTCTTTGGAAAACCTGCTTGACTGGTAGATGTGCAAAATGTTGAGAATCTGATTATTGTGGATTATGGAATACCTTAATGATGGATTTGTTTCTTACAAAAACGCAGCTTTTCATTTTACAAGACATTAATTCAGGGACTGTAGTGTGGATTAATTATTGTGATGTTTTTATCAGTTGTTTGGACTCTCCTTCTGACGGCACCCATTCACTGGTAAGCAAGTGATGCAATGCTAAACTTCTCCAAATGTGTTCTAATGAGGAAATAAACTCATCTACATCTTGGATGGCCTCAGGGTGAGTCAATTCTCAGTATTTTCTATTCCGTTAACCCCATGTTTGTAATAAACCCTCTACAAACGACATGCTCACCCCCAAACATTCTGCTATTTATTCACTCTCGTGTTGTTTCAAAGCATATGGTTTTATTTTTCAGTGGAACACACAAAATTGAAAAATAAATAAATAAATCTTTACATAGATGTTTTCCATACAACAAGATTTAATAAAAAGGAAAAAAAGGAAGTATTTTAATGGGTTAAATCAGGTGAAAATTACTCTTTAAGACTGAAATTGACCTTTAAATGGGAAAAGTCTGATTAATACACTGTAAAAAGTGGTAACCTACAAATGTTACCACTTTTTACAGTGTATTAATCAGATTTTTCCCATTTAAAGGTCAATTTCAGTCTGTTCCTCACAGAAAATATCATATAGCTTCAAATGATTTGTATTAAGTATTTTTTTCTTCTTCTTGAGATTGACATCCCACAGTCACTATGAGCACTAAAGATTGAAAAATATTGAAAGATTCTTTCAATAACTAAAAAAAATCATGTCTTGCAATAATAGATTGATTCCCTGAAATCCCAGTACTTTGTTTTCCCCTTATGTTTTCTGTTACATCTAGTTTTTAACATAAAGAGTCTGAGTGTGTGCGCGTTACAGAGAGAGAAAGTGAAACAGAAATAGATGAAGACAGAAATAGAGATGGACGGGCAAGATGGTGATTTTGATTATCAGCTGTAAATCTGCAGTTCATATAAGAGTGAAAAGAAAGAAAAGCACAAGCCAGAGAGAATTAATAAGGAAAAGACACAGGATAAAAGAGATTGCATGAAGGGTTGGGAGAGATGAGGTAGATAATGGTTGAAAGACAAAAAAAAAGAGAGAGAGAGATGGGGAGGTAGGCGAAGGCTGTTGATGGAGGTTTATATGACTCTCTCTCGTGTGTCTGGCAGGCCAATAAACATATCATACTTCCATAAAGGTGGAGCACAAAAGATGGACGGAAGCGAGAGGCAGGCTAATCTTTAAATCCTCCAGCAGCCTGTCTAACACTGACTCTCCAAGGTCAGTTTATTAATGAGCAAACAGACGGAGAGGAGAAATCATGCTAGAGAGTGTGGGAAAAGCGTGAAACTTCACCCAACACACACTCACACGTGTAACATTCAGCATTGAGCTTTAATCGAGATTTTCAAGCAACCTTCCTTTAACCTTGAATTAACCGAGGAGACTGAAAGAAGTAAAAAAAAATACAAATTTATTTCATGCCAAGTATACTACATTTTCATAGTTATGTACTCAATAAAATGCCCTGCTATTGTACTTTTAGTATGCTAAACTGTTATACTTTAAGTCAGCTAAATTGGAACAACTAA